TCGATGATGATGATGATGACGATGATGATGCTGCTGCTGATGATGATGACGATGATGATGATGGTGGTGACGATGATGATGATGCTGCTGCTGACGATGATGACGATGCTGATGATGATGATGATGATGATGCTGATGATGATGATGATGATGATGATGATGATGATGATGATGATGATGATGATGATGATGATGATGATGATGATGATGATGATGATGATGATGATGATGATGATGATGATGCTGATGATGATGATGATGATGATGATGATGATGCTGATGATGATGATGATGATGATGATGATGATGATGGTGGTGGTGGTGGTGGTGGTGGTGGTGCTGAGGAGGAGGAGGAGGAGGAGGAGAAGAGTTACGGAGTTATGGCGTTATGGAGTTAACGCGCACACGTGCAACGCCCTAACCAGATGAGGAGGAGGAGGAGGAGGAGGAGGAGGAGGAGGAGGAGGAGGAGGAGGAGGAGGAGGAGGAGGAGGGGAGAGGAGGAGAGGAGGAGGAGCTGGAGGAGGAGGAGGAGGAGGAGGAGGAGGAGGAGGAGGAGGAGGAGGAGGAGGAGGAGGAGGAGGAGAGGAGGAGGAGGAGGAGGAGGAGGAGGAGGAGGAGGAGGAGGAGGAGGAGGAGGAGGAGGAGCAGGAGAACGATGAGGGGCCTGCCGTTGCCGCCGATGGCGGCGGTGAGGAGCAGCCCCATGCGCCGTAGGCAGAACGCGCCAGCCCCCCCCCCCGCACGGCGGTGGCCGCGCCGCCGTTTCCGCCCAAGCTCCCCTCCACAACTCCTCCACTCCTCCCGCCTTCGGCGCCCACAGGTGGTGGCGAGGGGGAGGGACGCTCAGGGTGGGGGAGTTCCGCGAACCTCAGATATTCATCAAGGTCCACGGGCACAGGCACATCGGCACTGGGAACTCCCCTCAATCGCGCATCCGAGCTCTGGGCCATCACCCCAGCCTCCACAATCGCAGCAGCTTCTACAATCGCAGCACCCTGTATCGGCTACGGGGCAGATTCTCTAAGCCCTTATGCGAGGGCTGCGAATAACTCTTGCTGAGATGCATGCCGTCGGCAGTGGCCGTGAAGCCACAAACAGCACACAACTTGAGGCCATACTTTGGCCATTCATGCAACGCGTGGCTAGGATCCAGAGTCACATCGCCAACCTCACTCGCGGAACCGCTCCGAGGCCCCAGGGACCAAGGGGTGGGCGCCACGGGGTCAGGGTCAGGAGTAGACAGAGGGGCCGCGGGGCAGAGGGTGGCAGCAAACGCGGTCAACCTGGATCTATGCACAATCGACTGGCACAAGCTGCGCAACCAACGATTGCCAAACTGCTGCAAGCAGTGAGTCGACGACTTCACGGCACGCTCTAGGCCCGTGAGGAGGAAGAAGAGGAGGAGGAGGCGGAGGGGAATAAGACAAGCCAGGCGCGCTCGCGTCATATATGACGTCCTACCCCTCCCTCCCATCCTCTACCATGGCGTAGATCTCCTCCATATTCGCACAGTCGGATGTCGTAGCAGGGCATCACATAACACGGCATATCATGGTGTTGAATCAGCGCGTAGCCTGACACAGCATGGCGTGGCGACGCCCCAAAGTGAGGGGGGGCTTCTGCGGCCAACAAAAACAACGAATCGACGCCGAAGGCGTAATCACTTTCGATGGTTGTTTCGGGGGAGGGGGCATTTTTCTAGATTTTGGGGTTCATTTGGAAGGAACGAAAACCATGCCGTGGCGTGGCGCTGGAAATAATGACACCGCTGCAGCAGGAGCAAGATTCGGAACGAGCGGACGCGAGGAAATGAGGCCAGCGCTGCAGCTGGAGCACGATTCGGACGACGCGTAGCTTGACATAGCATGGCGTTGCGACGCCCCAAAGGGGTGGGGGGCTTCTGCGACCCCAAAAATCATGGAATCGGCACCGAATGTGTAATCACTTCCGATGGTTTTTCGGGGGGGCATTTCCTAGATTTTGGGGCCTATTTGGAAGGACCGAAAACCATGCCCTTGCATGGCGCCGGAAATAGTGAGGCCAGCGTTGCAGCGAGAACACGATTCGGAACGAGCGGATGAGCGGAAATGGGGCCAGCGCTGCAGCGGGAACACGATTCGGAACGAGCGGTAGCCAGAACATGAAGCCAGCGCTTTAACAAGAGCAGCATGTTGAAAAAAGCCCAGCGAAAACCAGTTTCCTGGGAATCCTGTGTGTAAGAAACCAGTTCGCGGAGGGGGGGCGGGTATTATTTCCTGGACGTCACCACGGGAGAGAGGAGAGTAGTATTCATATTGTGTAATTGTGGAGGAGGAGGAGGAGGGGGAGGAGGAGAGGAATGGAGGAGGATGAGGGCGAGGAGGAAGAGGCGGAGGAGGAGGAGGAGGCGGAGGAGGAGGAGGAGGAGGAGGAGGAGGAGGAGGAAGAGAAGGAGAGGAGGAGGGGGAGGAGGAGGAGGGGGAGGAGGAGGAGGAGGAGGAGGAGGAGGAGGAGGAAGAGGAGAGGAAGGAGGAGGAGGAGGCGGAGGAGGAGGAGGCGAGAAAGTTCACAGGTCGCATGATGCCTCTCGGAGTCTCTTCGGAAGTCATCCGAGAGCTTCTTGGAGTTCTCTTGGGGCGTCTGATTGTTTCTTGGCAGTTCCGGGGGCCTCTTGGGGCGTCTTGGGTGCCTCTGGGGGGCCTCCGGGGGCCTCTTGGGAAATTCTTGGGAGCCTCTTGGAGGCGTCTTAGGGGCGTTTGGGGGCCTCTTGGGGCCTCCTGGACGCCTCTTGGGGCCGTCTTGGGACACGCTTGGGAGCCTCGGGGGTCATTTAGGAAGATATCGATCTAAGGACGGGTCGAGCCAGAATGTGGCCGAAACCTTTGTCAAATGAATGATTTTGGCCTTCTCGCCAAGGCCTCTTGGGGCGTCTTGGGTGCCTCTGAGGGGATCTCTTGGAGCCTCTCGGGTTTCTCTTGGGAGCCTCTTGGGGGCATCTTCGCGGCCTCTTGGGACCGTCTTGGGGCACCCTGGGGACACCCTTGGGAGCCTAGGGGGGCCATCTGGGAGGAGATCGATCAAAGGAGGGGTGTTCCTTAATTCATGTTCCCCACCCTGGGAGGCCAGCATGCGGCCCAAACCTAAGTCCAGTCAATGATTTTAACGGCCTCGCCGAGGCCTCTTGGGGCGTCTTGGGTGCCTCTGAGGGAATTTTTTGGAGCCTCTTGGGTTTCTCGTGGGAGCCTCTTGGGGGCATCTTTGGGGCCTCTTGGGGCCTCCTGAGCACCTCTTGGGGCCGTCTTGGGCCACCCTTGGGAGCCTCGGGGGCCATCTTGGGGCCATCTTGGGACCATCTTGGAGGAGATCGATCAAAGGAGGGGTGCTCCTTAAATTAATGCCCCCCCCCAGGAGGCCAACATGTGGCCCAAACCTAAGTACAGTCACTGATTTTGACCGCCTCGCCGAGACCTCTTGGGGCGTCTTGGGTGCCTCTGGGGAGCCTTTTGGGGGTCTCTCGTCATCCTCTTGGGGGCATCTTGAGGGTCCCCTGGGCGCCTCCGGGGGCCTCCTGGGCGCCTCCTGGGGCCGTCTTGTGACTGATGCCCTTTGTGGGCACGGGAGCCATCTTGGGGCCATCTGGGAGGAGATTGACCAAATGAGGGGTGCTCTTGAATCAGCCCCCCCCCCTGAAGTCCAACATGTGGCCAAAGCCTTCGTACAATCAATGCTTGTGGCCTTCTCGCCGAGACCCTCTTGGACGCTCCAACGCCTCGCGACCCTCCCCGCCCAGGTACAGAGGTAGGGGGTAGGGGGAAGGGTCAATCTACCCTCCTAAGTAGCAAGCCGTGCAGTTCACTTCCACCCGCCCTCCCAACAGATAAGTGTCTACATATCGCCTAGGAGCGCCACACATGCCATGCGCGCCACGGGTTCCAGTTGCACCAGGCACCCTGGAGGCCCAAGCATGTCAAGCGCGCCAGGTGCGGCACGTGCTCCACGTGCACCAACTGTGCCACGTGCTCCAGCCGCGCTAGGTACGCCAGCAACGTGGAACCAATAGGGACCCCAGGTGCCTGGGGCCCTGGCCCCAAGGGGTCCAGGATCTTGAATCCCCCTGAAGCGAAATGCCGGGCATTCTGCGAGAGGGGTGGCTCCTCCAGGGGAGCGCAAATCAACGGCACCGATGGACAAACTGTGACATCTTGAGGAGTCGTGGAACACATGCGATCTCAGAGAGAATACTGCCCTGCGCATGTTCCAGATTTGGAGCCCATGTGTACTACTGCACTGTTTTTTCAAAGGGATGGTTGGCCTGCGCACAGCAATCAATACGCCGGCACCCCCGCCGTCCTTGTCCAACAACATTTTCAAGCGGTCACTGGGCGCCCGCGCATGCTTCAGATTTGGAGGCACAGTGCATGTTGTATAGTTTTTTGACATGGATGGTGGTGGTGGGGGTCTCATTGTTCTGGGTTGGCTGCCAGTCGCCTGGGGGAGGGGGTGTTTATCCATAGGGAACAGTGAGAACCCCCTCCCCCAACAGTGAAGAAGGCGGGTTACAAGAGGAAGCTCCCTCAACGACTCACGCCCTCAAGGGCTTGTGGGATAACTCGTTGCCGCAGCACGGCCCAGTCCGACTCCTCTCATTGTTTTCTTTTGCTTGTGTTTTGCCAAATCGATCGTTTTTCCTTGGACGGTACGCGTGTATCAGTGGCTGTACAGTCGGCGCCTTGAAGAAGGAACCCTTTTGGTTGGGGAGGGGCTCCGCGTTCCTTAAGTGTTTCACAGCTTGCCTCAGGTTTTCCTTATGTTTTCGATAGGAAATCGAAGTTTGACTTATGGAGAAAAGGGGCCTCGTTCCTTATTTAGGGTTCCTTAGGTTAACGCCCCGACTGTATCATGGTTCTGGCCTGCTCGGCCCGAGTGTCTTGCTTGCCCGATCCGCGTCTGCCTGCAGTGCCTCGGTCGATCGGGCTCCGTCGTGCGCTTCTTGGTCTGACTTCGGCGTGGAATGCCAGGATCCGCTGCTCGACGCCCTGCAGAAGTCGGCCGAGTTTGAGAAGGAGACTCGTTCGGAATTGAGGAGTTCTCCGAGAAGGTCGGTCGCGCTAGACGGCGGCCTTCTTGGCCGTCCGTGGTTGCTGGAGCCGCTGATCGGGACGGCCAGAGATCCAACAGGCAGTGTCCCGAACCCAGGCAGCCCTGCACCTGTGTGTGTGTGTGTGTGTGTGCGTGTGAATGCCGGCGCCCTGGCACGTTGGGAGGTCCTGGGTTCTTTCCTTTGCAGTAGGCGCATACGGCACGACTTATATTGTTAAGAGAAGTATGGGGACACACATTCCTTGCCTCCTCCTCCTCCTTCTCCTCCGTCTCCTCCTCCTCCTCCTCCTCCTCCTCCTCCTCCTCCTCCTCTTGCTCCCTGTTATTCTCTGCGACTCCCCCCACCGCGGTCTCTGCAGTGATTCGGCCCAGTGGCCGCCCCCCCCCCCCCCCCTCGGCCCCCGGCCCGCTGATGCAGCGCGCCGTGGAGCTGCTGGTGGAGGCGGGCGGTGCTGTGCTCTACCAGGGTCTGCGAACCGCGCTCTTCGAGCGGCTCGCGGGCCGCCCACTGCTCTTGACGGACCAGGAGGTCCCAACGGTCGGGTCCTCCTGGCCGTGTCAGGCGGCGGGCCTGCTTTCGAGGCTTCCGTCGGCTGCCCCACCGTCTGCCTCGGGCTGGCGGTGGACTCGAGCGGCGGGGTCTCTGCCCTGCTTGTCGCGTCGGTCCTCTCGCTTCTGGGAGTGCCCGCTTGCTGCAGCTTCTGCGGGGGCTGCTGTCTCGCGGGCCTGGCGGTCCGCTGTGCGAGCCCTCTTCCTGGCTCGCATTCGTGGTGCGCTGAGCGCGCCAACCCCAGCGCCTGCAAGGGCAGCTGCTCGGGTCTTGGCCTGCGGCCCTGGCCCCCAACCGCCTCGCGCGGCACGGCGGCGTCGGCCTTTCGGCCTGCGTCGCCGCTTCGGGGTTCGTCCCCTCGGGTCGGCCTTCGGGCCGCCCGCGCGGGCTCCCCCGGGACGTGCGCGCTGTCAGTTCCGCAGGACCCGACGCGTGTCACGGTGGGTGCGAGAGCCCCTAAGCGCTGGTGGCGTTGGCCGCGATGCCAGCGCTGCCAGAAGGCCTCGTGTGGCCCGAGCTCCATCCGTTCGAGGAGACATCTGCGACGAGCTACGACAGGTGGCAGTCGACGGGGAGACCGCAGCTTTGCCGCTATACCGCTTGCTCAGCGAGATGGTGGCGTGTTGCTCGCTCTTCCCTCGTACTTCTGCTCGGCTGCCGATCTGGCGTCCGCGGAGGCGACGGCTTTTCTGGGCTGTTGGGCCGGACGTGCCTCTCCTCGGGGCTGCCTCGCGGCGCTGGTCACCACGGCCTCGGTCCTGGTTGGTGACTTGGACGTCAACGAGCTGGAGTTCGAGTCCTTGACGCCGTTGCCCGCGGCCATGCCAGCCAACTTCGCCCCGTTCGCTACGGTGCGGAGTCGAGCCTACTGGCCGCGCCCGCCCATGGCGAGGCCGATCCACGAGCAGTTCGCCGCGCTCCACGGAGCCCCACTTGTCGACGGCGAGGAGGACCTGCCAGGAGCCGAGCGGGCGACGCCGTACCACGCGGCGTCGGAGGGCGTCGAGGAGATCGGGTCGATTTCGGATCCGAGGGCGGCAGGCGACGGCGAACGCGAGCCTGCGGCGCCGGCGGCGGCCCCTCCTCTGGGGCGCCCAGGGGTCCACGCAGGGATCGCGGCCTCGCCCACCCCGGCTGCGCAGCCGCGAGCTCCCAGTCGGGCAGTCGCATCCCTGGACGACGGCGCTCCCATGACCAGGGTGGAGGTCGTGTCCGAGATGCGTGCGATGTTGGCGGCTCAGGCGGCCCTGCCGCACCAGGCTCCAGCGCTGCCTCTGGTGGGGCCTTCGCAGGAAGCCGAGGTGCCCCGTCGCGACGCCCCTCAGCTGTTCGAGGGCGAGGCCGCCTGTCTCGGGATCCCGCTGCACGACCTGCAACGCTCGGCGACGCGGGCCCCTCCCGCCCCGCAGCGGGTACAGGCCAAGACGGGCGCCCCCGCCTTTGCGCTGGCATCAGCGTGGGGAGCTCCGCGACCCGCGGGCGCGTCGGTCAAGGCCCCGCCGCCTCCGTGCGCGTTGGCAGGCGGACCGCCCCCAGGGCCCTGGGACTCCCTGTCCCCGGCTGGGGCTCCGCTCCCGCCGAGGAGGCCGCCGCTGGAAGGCCCTCGGGCCCGGCTGCGACCGGGTCATCGACGCTGGACCTCGCGCTGGCGTGCCTGCGGGAAGCTCTCGCGCGCCAGCAGGCCACTCGAGCGACGTCCCATCCTCTGCTGGGCCCGCTTGCCGAGCAGGCTTCGGCGCCGCAGGGTCCCCCCATGGACGGCGCGTCCGCGAAGACTCAGATGCGGGGCGTTGCGCGACGTCGCGAGTGGCAGCGGGCGCTCGCTCAGCGCGGGCTTCGAGTCAGCGAGCTGATGATGGAGAATTTGGCCCGTGCTCTCGGGGCCCGCTTGGAAGACGTGGCGCCCATGGCCATGTTCCAGTACTTTCGGGGGCAGAGTCCTCTGGGCGGTCAGACGTCGACCCGCGAGCTGCTGGCGCTCTTCGCGCTGTTGAGCGCCGAGTTGTGGCGAGCCAGCGAGGAAGGAAACGCAGAGCGCGTCCAGACTCTGCTATCCTGCCAGTGCGTGTTCGTGGATCAGCAAGCGGGGGATCGCGGGTGCCTCGCTGCGGCGCGGTTCTTGACGGGCCCGGGGGCCCGGCCGACGCGCGTGGCGCGCCTGCGCGCCGCGCGGGGGGCTCGTGGTTCGTTCTTGCCGCCGGTGGGCCCGCGCTGGCTGTCGGCCCAGGGCGGGCATATGAAGGAGCTGACCTCCTCCCGGCCCCGCCCGGGCTCGGAGCGGGCGGCGGCTTCGAAGGCGCCGATCTCCAGCGCCGAAGGCGGAGGCGAAAGCGAAGCCGAAGGCAAAGGGGGCGACCCCGCCCGAGGCCAAGGCGGGCGCCGAGCCACCTTGAGGCCGATGGGCCGCCCCCATGCGGGCGGACCGCGGGGCTCTGTCCCCCCCCTGTCAGCCCTCTCCGCTGACGTTCGTCCTGCTGGGCGCAACGAGCCCGTGGCTCGTCGGGCCCTGCCGCGGTTGCCTCTTCGGGCCACCTTGGTCCGCCTACCCTCGATGACACGCCCGTGGGCGATGAGAGGGCTCCGCCTGCCCCTGCCTCGGGGGGGCCGCCCTGCCGTTCGCCTTCTTCGGGTGGCCACCGTGCTCCTGGCGCGAAGCAGCACTCAGCTCCCGACCCCCCCCTCGCTTCGGTCTCGGCCGATCAGACCGCCCCCTCTGTAGCGGATGTGTCTTCCTTGTTGCGCCGTTCCCTGGCGCTAACATCGACGTCGCCCGCCGGGCGGCTGCTTTGCCCTGGGTCGGGAGAGGGGCGCTGCGTTTCCTGGCGCATTTCTCTCGCTCGTCTCAGCGCCCGTCGGGCCGGGGCGGTTCTTTCACTGAGCCTCTTCCTCGCGATCCATGGCCGCGCCCTCCAGCTCCACCTTTCCTACCGCCGCCTTCTTCCCTGGTCGGCCGCGCGCGGGAGCGGCGGCGCCTGGGGCGCGCGGCTCGCGCGCTAGCTCGACGCGCAGTGGTTGCGCTAAACTGGCTGACCCTCGGCCAGCCAAGTCTCGCCCCCGCCGAGGCTCGCGCGCGAGCGACGGCCTCGCCCTGCCAGGAGGGCGCGCGCTGCCGCGTAGAGCGGCCGCGCCAGATTGCAGTTCGCCTTGCCCGAGGGGGCGAGAGCGACCTAGGCTCAGCTTCTGCTTAGTTCGATGTCGCCGAAGTCTTGCCCCATGGCCTGGCAGCCCATGCTGCAGCTCTGGAGGCCTCCGTCACTTCCTCTGCCGCCGTCCCGGCACCCATGCGGCAGTGTCCTTTGTCTGCGGCCCCTGTGCCTGGGTCGCTTGCCGCCGCGGCGTCGTGGGGCTCCGCCCGCGTCGGGCCTTTTCGACCTTGAGGTCAAGGCGCGCTGCAGCAAGTGGGACTATTCGCCCAAGTTTGATCCCGCTCCTTTTCTTCTGTCCTACCCGATCGTGCGCCAGGCGTTTCTGGGCCCCGATGTCGCGAGGTTCCCGAGGGCAGAGTGGCCTGCGGGCCAGCAAGGGACGCGCGTCCACATGGGCCGCGCAGACCTCTGGGCTCTCCATTACAAATGGGACGCCTGCGGCGCCCTGGACCATGCCCCGGCAGCTGATCCCCGTTGGGGCCAGGCGCGCGGAGCCTTCCGAGCCCCAAAGGACAGTGAGTTCGGTCGTTTGGTCTTGAACCCTACGGTCGTCAACAGCCTGTGCTCCTCGGCTCCTTCGGGCACCCAGCGGCTCGGCCAAGGGTTTCTGATGTGCAGACTCGGTCTGAGCCCCGGAGAATGGCTGGTCATCTCCTGTGACGATTTGAGCGAGTTTAACTACGCCTTCCGCGTCACTCCCGCGCGCGCACGCAGGAACGCGTCGCGGGTCAGGTTGCCGGGGGGCTTTTTCAAGTCCTTCCGAATCTTGCTCCCCGAGCTGGCAGGCGCCGCGGTTGCGCCGCGCCTTGATGCTCTTTCCATGGGCGGCAACGTGGCCGTGGAGATCGCCTGCGCGGCGCACGATGGGGGTTCTCCGCAGCTTCGGTGCCTGGGCAGGCGGTGCGCCGTTCTCCATTCCCTAGGGGAAGCTTCGCCGACATGCTCAACATTGACGATCGCACGGACTTTCAGAAACTTTCGTGGCGCGGCTCCGCCCCGCGTCCCGACGATCCGACCCCTCTCGCCGCGATCGGGAAGTCTTCGCGCCGCGTGCGACCGCGGTTATTCGCAGGTCGGGTTGGTGCAGCGCCCGGGGAAGCGCCCCCGCGGCGAAACCCGCGAGGTCGCGGGGGCCGAGATCGAAAGGCGGATCTGGGTCGCGTGCTTTCCCTTCGTCCTTTCGGCCGCCCTTTGCAGGCTGACCCTTATCCAGGTATACGTTGGCTCCTCGACGCGTGCCCTGATGGCGTCCCTCGGTGGCTGCTGCGTGCAGGCGTTTCTGTTCCGACATCCTATGCTTTC